CCGCCGCCCACTTGAACCCGGCGGCCGCCTCGGCCCAGATTAGGACACGACGCCCGCGTCCCCAGCGGGCTGCGAGGGCCTCGTCCCCCCTGCACGGCCCTGTCGCTGCCATCTGCCCGGGGGCTTTGCTCCCTAGAAACATCGCAACTGTATTACCCTATATACAAAATACACGGTGAAAGCACTGGGTAGGTTCTCCACTAAAGCGGAAAGCATTCCGTGCTGGAAAGCTGCGTGATTCCCACCAGCAACCCAGAATTTGCAGGAGGGCCAGGAGAGGCAACCGGGGACGAGGGCCGGGCCTCGCCGTGCAGGTAGAGCACGGGGGAAAAATCTGCCTCCGAGCAGGCGCGCTGACCCGGCCGCAGCTCCTCGGCTAAGGAATGCGCACGTACGGAGCGCTCCGCTTCCCTCCGCGCGCTCCCATGAGCTCAGGAAGTAAAAACAGTAATTTAAATCAGAAATGAGTGGCGTATCCCACACTAATACTGCGCTTATCCTGTCTGATTTGGTGCTTTCATCTCGCCGGGCGCGCAGCTGGCTCTGGTTAAGCGTCTCACGTCAGAGCGCTCGCTCGCGGCGCGGCCGCCCGGCCACGCGGGACGCGCTCCGGCCCCATCAAACATCGTTAGGGCTCCTGAACTCCTGACGAGGTTACGCCTCACTCGCCTGGCCTCTCTCTCTCCCTTTTTTAAGCTATAATTGATTTTTGGGCAAATGTTGTGTTTTCCGTAAGCGCAGCCAAAGGCGAGAGGGCGGCAGGGTGGGAGAGGGGCGCTCGCTCCGCACTGTTCCCGGGGCTGCTGCCGTCCTCCCGGAGCCTTCCCTGGCTCCTCTGCTTTCCGGGGATTTTCTGGCCGTTCTGCACCTTGCTGTCCTCGCGGGCAGCCGAGTGCGCCCGGCTGCCAGGGGGTGGCACTGCCGACACTGGTGCCAGTCGCGGCGAGCATGCAGGGGGACGCGGCGAGCGCGCACAGAAGAGCCGGGGAGTGGGAGACCTGAAAACGGCTGCGGGAGAGCGGGGCTGCCGGGAGGAAACGCGGCGCTCGCCCCGCCGGCCCCGGCTCTCGCCCCGCGCTGCTGCGTCGCTCCGCAGCCCACGGATCAACCGGCTCCGGAGACCCTGGCCTTGGAGGAGCAGAGCGCCAAGTCCAGCGCTCTCCTGGGTTGCCCAGAATGGGCCTGTTTCGTCTGGCTACCTCAGTAATAAAAAAAATACACTGAAAAAAACCTTGCAAAGGACTTTTCCCCTTTCCTCCAGAGCTTCCCTGCAGATCAAGGAGACAAGTGCGCAGTGGCATCGTGCTGCGGCCCTGGATGGCCCTGCCATGTGCCCACCCGCAGCAGCTCTTGGGTATAAAAGGAGGCCAAATCCGAGGACTGGCCGGGGCAGCAGGTCCCGTAGGAACAACTCTGCCCTTCCCAGCTGCAAGGGGACGCGGCTCCCAGGCCTTGTGTCCCATAACCCCCAGGACCCTCCCATGGTGTCCTACGCCATGGGGATAAACCCAAAGCCGAAGCGCGCGGGCGCAGAGCAAGCCGGGCTCGCGGGAGCCGCGGCGGCTCCGCGTGCTCAAATAGAGCAGGACAAATCCGTCCTGCGAGCGATTGCGTTTGCTTTGGTGGAGTTACGCCAGGAACGGACTTGGCCCCAGCCTGTCTGAGGGTTATTGTATCTGCATTCCCCCATGCATATACTGTCGAGATGTATTAACTTCCTTAAATGTACCAGTAAAACAACCTCTTATGATACACTTTAATGAACTTGTACAGTAGCCAACAAATTGTGCATCATATAAAACCCATTCTGCCTTATAGACTCGCTGGCTATTTTGTAATAACTGCAATTTGCTTCTGCTGAAGCAAGATAACCAGGGTTGAGAAGTCAGGCTTTGCAGAAACCTAAATATTTGATTTTGGGGGGCGGGGAGTGGGTGGGAGAAGGAAGAAAGGGGCCTCTGGGAGCTATTTATGGGGTCAAAATAACATGAGACCTGCTCTTCTTGTAGTATTTCCACCATCAAGGAAATGAAATACTGTGAGAAGACCAGCACTTGCATTATTTTGGCCCCGTAAATGGCTCCCCGAGGCATTCCAAAGCCCGTGAAAAACAAACACAAATACAAATAAATGCTAATACTGGAAACGTAAATGCTAAAACCTGCCCCTGTCCCCAGAGGAAGCAGCTCACGAAGTTCTCGTGCCTCTAAAAACAACAAAAAAAAGGGATGTGGAAAAAGAGGAAAGAGCAGGAACATCTGCCGGAGCGATGAGGAGAGTCATCTGAGGGGAGGCGAGGACTAGCCCTGCCTGCGCGTTTGACGGTAACCGCGACCGGCACCGCTGGCAGCGCCGGGGCTCCGGAGGAGCGGTGATTTCCAGGGCACAGGCGCCTTCTGCCGCGCTGCGAGCGGCAGCGGGAACCGCAGCCCAGCTGTGCACATCTGGCAGCGCCGCTGGCCCCGCAGCGCCCGCCCGGCCACGCACATCTGGCACAGCTGGGCCAGGACGCGCGGTGGCGCGAGGCCCCGTCTGCCGCGCGGAGGAGAGGCTGGGAAAGCCCCCGGTGCGGAGCCGCTGCCCCTTACGGCTTCCCGACACCGCGCTGGAGCCTCGCGGTTGTTCTGCCCCCGAAATCCCGCTTGGTTTTCAGGGATTCGGGAGGAGAGAGGGAGGAGCAGAGCACAACCGGCCCCGCGCGCTCGCTGCGCACTGCGCTCCAAAGAGCTCCAGGAACTGTCAAAGGGCTACGGCCAACCCAGGAAGGTACAGAGCCCTGCCAAGCTTCAATGTGAAACCAATTTATATGGCACATTAATTCAATGCCTGAAGAAAATCCATATAGCCCTCTTTTGCCCGGAACACTCATAAATTATGCTGCCTTTCTTGTTTGTGCTCTCTGTAGTGGTCCACTCGAAGCCATGGTAGCTCCTTTATGTCTCCTCAAAAGTCTCATCTCCAGCGCATTATTTCTTCTAATGGTTTTTCCTTTCTCTCTGGTTGCCTTCCCCTACAGCAGGCTGTTAAGCGCCATTGCAAAACACCCTCAAAACCCATTTGCTGGCAGCGCTGACCCTTCCGAGCGCGCGCGGCGGCTCCCGCGCGGCACGGCCGAGCCGCGGCCGGCCAGACGCTACAATGACAGCCAGCCTGATGTGTCGGGCTAGTGGGGAAGCAGCAGCAACTCTGAATACAAGAATTATTCTTCATCATCTCAAACTGTCACAACGCATTACGCTCAAAGCCGCGGCTCGCTGGAGGAGTGACCCTGCGCTGAATGGGAGAGTGCTCGGGGAAAGAACTAATTGTAGCCTCTTTTCACACGTCAGTCACTTTTCACAGCACCGAGCCTTTCAAGCTCAACTAATGTCAAGTTCCCTTTGCCTTTTTTCTGGGCTGAGCATTTCTGATTTTTTTAAGGACGGCGTTTTTAAAGGAACAAGGTCTCCGGCGAGGCCTGGAGCCGGGGAGGGGCGGGAAGGACGCGTCAGGAGAGGCGCACATCAGAGAGCCTCCCGGACAGCCGCGGATTCGTTAGGAATTAGACAATTAACAAGGAGGAATGCAGGAAGCGGGTAATGGCCACGAGGCCGGGGGCCTCCCTGGTTTCCTCTCGCCGCTCGCTGCAGGACGAGTCTCCGCGGCGAGGCCGGGACGCGGGGCTGGCGCTGGCTCCGCCGCAGGCTGGGGCGCACGAGATGCTGCCCATTAACAGCACTGAGCTGGCTGGCACCTCCCCACGAGCAGCTTCTGGATGAGCACTAAAAGGCCTAAATTAGGGCCTTCTCTGGAAACACAGGGAAATTTCTTTCATTTTAAGGAGGGAGCGGGAGCTCCCTGCGGACCCGCTCCGCCAAGCGATGGCCTGGTCTGGCCTCCTGGACACGCGTGCGGGTGCTTCACCCTCCCCTCTAACCCAAACGACCAAATACGCCGTGGCCAGCGCTGTTTTTTCGCCGTTTGCACAGTGCCGATCACAGGGGACTTGTGGAGCTGACAGGGGCTTCCGAGTGTTACTTATTAACTGTAATGAATAATAATTACGTCGCTCCTGCCATCTGGATTCTCATTCAAAGGGATCCTATGCAAAGCGCGCGCTAAAAGGCCATTTCTATTAGCGCAATGCGAGGCTCGAGGATCTCTTAAACTGTTTGTAATTTACACACCGCTCCCCGGTGAATGGCTTAGTTAAACATTTGTGTTTTGACGATGGCGGCAGCGCTCTCGCCCGCTCCCCGGTGCGGGGACGAGCGCTTTTCAACCCAGGCTCTCCAGCTTCCAGGGTTTAGACGGCATCCCAAGCTCAGCTGGGATTCTGCCTCTATTACTGCAGCGACTGCTGCAAGTCCTCAGCCCCATCCCTGTCCCAGCACCGCGGGGACCCCCCAGCAGACACCCTGTAGCATCTGACTGTCTGCTTGGGAGAACCAGGTTGCCAGAATGGTTAAAAGTGGGTTAAACCTGCCCTGTGCCTGCCCTGCCTGCCCCGGTGCTCGGCAAACCGTGGAGGCAGCTAGCGGAGACAGACGCCCCATGAGGCTGCGGGGGGCCGTGAGAGAGATGCTCCTAAGAAAATCCTTCTTTCTTTCTTTCTTTCCTTCTTTCTTTTTAACCAGCAGTTTAGAAAAAAAAAAAGGGGGATTTTCTACATTCAAAAGAGGA